CCTGCCTCCCAAGGTTATTATTCTCCCAACCTTCCCATAAATACACAAACATGGGGCCTTTGGGACTCAATAGCAATAGTCATAATTAACTATCGATGTAAGCTCAGAAGATGCTGTGGTTAGCTGCTCTAGAAATGTTTGAACAGGGGTGGTATCTAACCAGGAGAAGAACTGGAGATTGGGAGATCAAGGGTTACCTTGTCTGGCAGTAGCCAGCCTTCTTCCACTCTGCAGTAACAGATAATTATGTTGGCTGTTGACAACCTCTTACCTTAGGGCTTTCAGAGAGAAGGAAACATTACTTGGGGAGAGCAGCATACCATAGTAGGCAGGAAGAGAGGGGTTCACACTACATCTCTGCCAGACACTGGTTCTGTGATTTCACCAGTTTCTTAGCTTGTCTGTGTCTTAATTTCCTCATCTGTAAAAAGGTCATATTCTCTCAGAGCTATTGTGAAGATCAAATAAGTCAATGTTTGCAAAATACTTTACCTGGCATCTGGCACAGAGTAAATCCTTTAATAAAAGTGGTTATTAACATGAAATTGCCTCTTATGAACTATTTTATCACAGATTTATGGGATAACTACTTTATTGCAAATTTATGAGCTTTATGAATCCTAACTTTGGAAAGGACATAGAGAGAAAAGGTGAGACTCAAGTTGCAATATTATGTAATTTTGCTTTTGTAGGAGGCAAGAAAACTTACACTGGAGAAGGCAAAACAGATTGTCAAGAAATCCCAGACTCTGGTAAGCAATTGGTGGATGGGTGCCCACATTTTCCTTGGCATATTCACCTTTCCCATATTCCTGCTCTCATACTCCAAAAGCCAATGTTTACTCAGATACAAGCCCACAACACTCCATAGTTGAATTGAGGTGAAGGAAAATGAGTTACCTCCACGCTGTTTTCTTTCTTCTTTCTACATCAGTGTGGCCTTAGTCTGAGCCTCAGTTTTCCTGCCTATAGCATATGGACACTTACAATGTTCCTTTTCTCAAAGCTTTAATGTGAACACAAAGTTGATGTGTGTGAAGGCTCCAGGTATCATGCCTCAGATCTATCAAGTACTCAAAAATGCTAATAAAGCCATCATCTTTATTATTCCTCTCCCTATTTGTTCTGTTTGTAATAAAATTTTATTCAACAGATAGAATGTTCAGCTCAACTAAGTTATAATGGTGGAATCAAATATCTGACTTGGGCAAATCAGCCCCAGTTGAAAAGGAGGTAGTAAAGTAAACCTTTAAAGAACAGCATCTCCTTATATACTGAAGGTCTTAGCAATAGAAAAACATTCATCAGGGGTAAAGGGCATGGACACATCCTTGGCTTCTCCCTCTTGGCTCATCATTCACCCTGATGCAAATATGTTTAAGGCATTATTGATTTGGCAACATGGGAAAGGGGGAGGAAAATCTCTTATGCTGGATTTAGCAAATAAAAACAGACAATGACAAGTTAAATTTAAATTTCAGATAAACATTGAATAATTTTTTTAGCATAAGAATGTCCAGGGAAATATTTTATGAACCCTACTCATGAGGGTACATTGATTTCAATGCACAAAGATGATACATGTTTAATGACAATATGTATGTATTTCTGCACAATAGATTAATCAATCACAGAGGCTATATCACCAATCATTATGTAATTTGTGAATAAAGGCCAACTTAACCAGTTCAGCTAATCTGCTTAAGTCATTAAACAAGAAATTGAAACACCACATGAAACCCTTCACTATCAACCTCAGAGTTCTATGCAAAAGTGGAGAATATGGTTCCTCTTTTCTTCTTTTCAACATGCATCTAAAACTGATTCTCAGGGCATTGTTTACCTCACTTGTACAAACTGCCTTGGCATTAACTCAAAGGCTAATTAGGATTTTACAATTTTTCATTCTGTTTACAGAATTGCAAACATAATTCCTGGGACAGGAGTCCAACATTCCTTGTAAGAAGCCAAAATAATTTTTAAGAATTCTGAACAAATTCAAAAATAATTTTTGAAAACTTTTATTTATTTACTCTCTAGTTTCAATCTATCAAGGAAAAAATCAGAAAATGCAAATAAGTGTTTTTGAAAAATTGCTCAGAGGATATTAGTTACAATTAATTCCTTGCAGTGATGGATATAACTATAGATTTAGTCAGAATGCAGAAAGAAACACACAGCCGATTGCATATCATTTCAGCACATCCTGTTAGACAATGTGAGTCCAGAATAGAGAACTCACATGTTCCAGGGACATCTGTATCTCACTGAGACCCTGAAAGATTCCTCAGCGGCGTTTTCATGGATCTGGCAGAGCCCAGAGTATTTACAGTTTTAAAATACCAGAGTTATAGAATCAATCTATTCAATTCTCATAAAAACCCTACAAAGTTAAAAGCGTGTTTTTGCTATCAGCCCTATTTTACAGATGAGCGAACTGATAAGCAATTCACTCAGTCCACATAGATAGTAAATGAGAAACCCATTATTTAAAACCAGATCATGCTATTTCCATGTCCTATTCATTTTCCACTATGCCATAATTTTCAACCACACCCCATCAGTACTAAATTTCAGGGAGCAACATTCAAGTCACAGGCTATGTGGATGTCAGAATTGTGCAGTGTGCAACCTGATTCTAAACCTAAACTGTTCAGTAACATTATTTAGAAAGTCCTTAAAAATTGCTGATGTTCAAGTTCTGCCCGAGTCCAATTAAATCTAAGTAAAATATATTCAATATCAGGTTGGCTTGTACAGATTAGTTACTATCCCCTTTGATACTCTATATCTCCCTTTCAGCCCATTTCCCTTTATTCAATCTCTGCTTGCTGGTCTATATTCATTTACTATCCTGGTGTGTGGGCAAGCTGTAGTCTTATGGAAACTTGTCTCTAATTCCTTTGCTCTGAAGCTTAAGAAGCTCCAACCTGCCCAGCCCCCAGGAAGGGAGCCTTTATTCTACCTCTTCCTAAGCCCCAGCCATGTCTCTTCTGTTAGCCTTTGTTTACTTCATAATAAAATGGAATTATTTTATTTGAAAATGTCCCTTATTTTAAAATCACTTTTCAAAGCACTTGAGTAGAATGAGGGAGAAACATGTCCAAATAGAACAGACCTTTTGAAAAGAGACGGTGAGCAGGTGAAGGTGGGAATAGCTGGCTGGTGAAAAAAAAAGAAAGAGCCTTCAGGCTGACGGGCCAGCATGAACATGGACAAGGGGAATGAACAGAGAGTGTGGGAACAGGGACAAGAGGAAATTTAATTAAGTAAAATAGAACAAACTCTACAGGAAGGATATACAGACTGTGGAGTCCACAGAACTGAAGAGATTTTAGAATTCGGGGAACCATTCTTTGAACTAAATAACTATTTTTGTGATTTTTTTTTCCCTCTCCAGAAATATCTCAGAAGTGGTTCTGATATTTGTTCACTCCCACTTTTGGCCAAGATCTGCCAGAAGATTAAGTTGTATGTATTCTTTTCTACTCTCCCGAGCACTGGTGTGCATAAGATCTGTGGTCATCTGTTTCCTAATAGTTAAAACAATGTTCACATTTCAAAGGCATCCTCCTGGAATAGGAAAGATTTCTTGGTCAAAACAGGAGTTTTACAGAAACAGACAAATTAAGCCTGAATCAGTCATTGGCAATATATTGAATATGCACATCTTTGACTCTCAAAGAGTGGCTTTCCCTCACTCTCATGCAGCCTGTGGGTGAGACTCCATGAGCAGCTGGGTGCAGGCTCAGGGACAGTAGGGATAGGCCCTGCTGGCTGTGTAGACACAGACAAGGTCGGCTGCTCTTCGTGACAGGGACTCTTTGAACATCTGTACCACAAGGCACTCACAAGGCTGAAAAGGGACCATTTTTCACAGAGCCCAACCTATTACCAGAAAAATCTGCCTCAGATATCTATAAGCAGACTTCTGAACACAGAAAAACTGTCCAGAGTTCCAAACTCCTGTCTCAGTTTAAAACGCTGTGTTCCATCTCCCTTTTGAATCAGATGTCATGCTGGATATCATAGTAATGGTGCTTCAAAATGTTAAAGACAGAATAGGTTCTTCAGAGGGACTTTGGACTAAGAGGAAACTAATACAGGTCCACTCTTTCATTTGGCTATTCCTCATATATTTGCTGCTGCTGCCAGGTAGGTTAAGAACATTGTTCATATGCTGCACTTGGTCTGACAACAACTCCATGAGGTGGGGATTATTAGTCCCATTTGCAAGAAAAAGAAACTGAGTCTTAAAGAAAGAACTTCTTTCAGTCAATAGAACTTAAGATACAAGCCTATGTGTGTTGAACCCACATGTCCTCAAGCCCACTTAATCTCTCTGCACCTCAGTCACCCCAAATCCAAGCTTAAGGTATAGACTAACTTATGGCTATTCCTCAAAATCATTTGGGAAGCTTTTAAAATGCAGATTCCTTTGCCTGAAAGTTCTGCAGGTAAATGGACATCACACCTGGGCTCCTGATTGTCTGTGTCATCCACAGAGCTCATGTTCTAGTTCTATGACATACGGCAAATGCCACATGTACAGGTGATGCTTAATAATTCAAAACAATGTTCATCAGCTGTGAGAAATTAATTTAGACCACATCATCCACTCTGGCCTCTATTGCTTTTATCCTTGCTTTCCTGCAGACAGTTCCTATTATTTGAGTCCATTTTAATCCAACTTGTCTCTCATTGTAAAGGATTAAAGGTGAACGTGCCTAAGGTGAGCATTAGGCTATACATCTGGACTGCAAAAGTAGATTAGTTTTCTAAGGTTGCTGTATTAAAATTTCTCAAACTGAGTAGCTCAAGACAACACAAACGAATGTCCCCTGTTCTAGAAGCTAGAAGTCTAAAAGCAAAGTGCTGTCTCTGAGAGTGTCCCTGGAATTCTGGGCCCAATCCTTCCTGTTCTCTTCCTAGCTTCTGATGGGGCAGCTGGTCCAACCTTGGCATCTCTTGGCTTGCAAGTGCATCACTGTGGTCTCTGCCTCCCTCTCATACATAGCTTTTTCTTTTATGATGACATCACTCCAGTTGGAATAGGGTCTATTCTAATGGCCTCACATTAACTAAGGAGCCTCTGCAAAGACCCTATTTCCAGTTAAATTCATATTCACAGGGTTTGGGGGTTAAAACTAAACAGATCTTTTTGACAATTTAAGCCCCAACAGAAGTACTTTTCCTATGTCTTCCATCCTTCATTTCATGAACTTCATGGGAACCAAAACACATATCCATTGTCTGCCGTGGAAGTACCTGGGGAAAGAAGGAGACTATGATTCTGATCCACATTCAGAGTCTCTTATATATCTAAGAGTTTAAAAGTTTTTCCTGCTTCATCTGCCCCCATCAGCTCCTGCAAGCCAGCTGCGCAAAATGCTGGCCTTAGTCTCAGAAAGAGTGTTAGCCCCCCTTTTCATGAATGGGGGTAGACACAGAGAGTGGAGGGGAAATATCAGACATGAAAGAAGATGCTGGAAGGCAGAGGCAGCAAGCTCCCCAGGCTCCCAATCATTTCATCATGCCTAGCTTTTGTTAAATTGAGACCCATTCCCTCCTTGCTGAAAGCATTATTGCATTTTCTGTGTCAGATGTGAGCCTGCAGGACCCAACAGTGCCAAAGTGACAACTCTTCTATTGAACCACTTTTGAAAACTGAATTCAAGAGCTATTGTGGCCAGGGATTTTCTTGGCCCAATTTAAAAGGGAAATTCTTCTTTCATGAACAAGGAAAAGCACAATATTTTTCTTCTTTCTAAAAATCATTGTGCCTTAGTATAACTTATATCAGGTCACAACATATTTAGTGCTTTGTGGTTTACAATGCACATTTTTATATAATTTTTGTTGAAATATCATTAATTTAGAACATGATATTTAGGTTTACAGAATTATTATTTTTTTTTAAATATTAAATTTTATTTTTATATTCCCCCATACAATTGCAAACGCCCCATTCTGACCCCAATCCTTCCCCTCCCGCCCCCCACCCCCCAAAAAGTGTCTCTGGTTCATAGTTTTTTGTTGATTTTGATTTTCACATTCTTATATTCATTTTCCTGGTCCCTTATTTAAGTTTTCTAGATTCCTGCTATGAGTGAGACCATCCGGTATTTTTCTTTTTCTTTTTGGCTTATTTCGCTGAGCATGATCCCTTCCAGTGCCATCCATGTTGCTGCAAATTGCATGTGTTTATCTTTTTTGAATGCTGAGTAATATTCCATGGTATATATGTACCACATCTTCTTGATCCAGTCATCTATTTTTGGGCATTTGGGTTGTTTCCAAAGCTTAGCTATTGTAAACAGTGCTGCTATAAACATAGGAGTGCAGGTGCTCTTTGGAATTGATGTTTCTGTGTCCTTTGGGTAAATACCTAGGAGTGGAATTGCTGGATCATATGGAAGCTCTATGTTTAGTAGGTCCAGAAATCTCCACACAGCTCTCCATAGTGGTTGGACCAGTTTGCACTCCCACCAACAGTGCACAAGAGTTCCTTTTTCTCCACATCCTCGCCAACATTTGTTGTTGCTAGTTTTTTTAATATGTGCCATTCTCACTGGTGTGAGATGGTATCTCATGGTAGTTTTGATTTGCATTTCCCTGATGACAAGTGATGTTGAACATTTTTTCATATGCCTGTTGGCCATTTGCATTTCCTCTTCAGAGAAGTTTCTTTTTAGCTCTTCTGCCCATTTTTTGACTGGATTATTTTCTTTGTTGTTGCTGAGTCTCATCAGCTCTTTGCAGATTTTTGTGATCAGTCCTTTATCATTAGTGTTGGGTGCAAAAATGTTCTCCCAGTTGGTGGGGTTTCTCTTTGTTTTTGTTATTGTCTCTTTTGCTGTGCAGAAGCTCTTTAATTTGATGTAGTCCCAGATGTTTATCTTTCTCTTCACTATCACTGCTTTGGGTGATGTGTCTGTAAAGATGTCTCTGATGTGCAAATCCCGTAGTGTTTCGCCTATATTTCCTTCTATGTATTTTATGGTTTCAGGTCTTATGTCTAGTTCTTTAATCCATTTTGAGTTGATTTTTGTGTATGGTGTGAGGTAGTGGTCAAGCTTCATTCTTTTGCATGTAGCGACCCAGTTTTCCCAGCACCATTTATTGAACAAACTTTCTTTGCTCCAATGCATAGTCTTTGCTCCTTTGTCAAAGATTAGTTGACCATAAATCTGTGGGTTTATTTCTGGATTTTCTATTCGATTCCATTGGTCTGTATGTCTGTTCTTGTTCCAATACCATGCAGTTTTGATGATTATGGCTTTGTAGTATAGCTTGAAGTCTGGGAGTGTGATGCCTCCATTTCCTTCTTTTTTTTTCAGTAGAGCTTTGGCTATTCGGGGTTTTTGGTGATTCCATATGAATTTCATCAATAATTGTTCTATTTCTTTGAAGAATGCCATTGAGATTTTGATTGGAATAGCATTGAATCTGTATATTGCTTTTGGTAGGATGGCCATTTTAATAATGTTTATTCTTCCAATCCATGAGCAGGGGATGTCTTTCCATTTCTTTGTGTCTTCTTCTATTTCTTTTAACAGTGTTTTATAGTTTTCTTTGTATAGGTCCTTTACCTCTTTTGTTAGATTTATTCCCAAATATTTGATTTTTTTTGTTTCGATAATAAAAGGGGTGGTTTTTTTGATTTCTTCTTCTTCAGATTTATTGTTTGTGTATAGGAAGGCTACTGACTTTTGCGTGTTGATTTTGTATCCTGCCACTTTACTGAATTGATTGATGAGTTGAATTAGTTTTTCTGTGGAGATTTTGGGGTTCTCTATGTATATTATCATATCATCTGCAAATAGTGATAGTTTGACTTCTTCTTTTCCTATTGGATTCCTTGGATGTCTTTCTCTTGTCTTATTGCTCTGGCTAGGACTTCCAGTATTATATTGAAAAGCAGTGGTGAGAGTGGACATCCTTGTCTTGTTCCAGATCTTAATGGAATTGCTTTCAGCTTTTCACCATTGAGAATGATACTGGCTGTTGGCTTGTCATAGATGGCCTTTATAATGTTGAGGTATGTTCCTTGTATCCCAAGAATTTCAAGGGCTTTTATCATGAATGGGTGTTGCACTTTGTCAAAAGCTTTCTCAGCATCTATTGATATTATCATATGGTTTTTATATTTCTTTTTGTTGATGTGTTGGATAACGTTGATTGATTTTCGGATGTTAAACCATCCTTGTGCCCCTGGAATGAATCCCACTTGGTCGTGGTGAATTATCTTATGGATACATTGTTGGATTCTGATAGCTAAAATTTTATTGAGGATTTTTGCATCAGTGTTCATTACCTCCCTATTAACTTTTTTTAATGGGAGATCTTACTCGCAGCCTCTCCTCGCCGCCATGTTGCTCCGCCCCCTTCCTAGAAAGAGGTTTACTGAATTATAATTTGACATCTGTTTATACTACATCGTAATCACTGCCAGAAGTCTAGTTTCCATTCAAACCACACAACTGATCCCTTTCCCCCACCCCTCAGCCTGCTTTTCCTCTGGTACCCACCAATCTGTTCTTTTACTAAACACATTTAAATGCAGTTTATTTTGTTTTGTTTTGTTTAAGATTTATTTATTTATGCATACAAGAACTGGGGTCTAGGCCAGAGGTGTGGGGGTTGAGAGGATTCACCAGAGACAGAATGGGGAACAGAACAGGCAGATCAACAGAAGTTCACTGCTGAGGGGAGCAGTGGACAAGTCAGGAGAGGTCTGCTGCGCCATGTGGGTTGCTTCCTGGCCCGCCGGGGATCGAACACCGGAGTGGCTGCGGACAGCTTCACAGACTGCGTCTTAACCCCTTGCACCACCAAGGAGGCCCAATGCAGTCTATTTCATTCTCCAAAACAGTAATAGAAGTTGTCTGGTAACTAAAAGTTACCCAGTGCTTTCTATGCATCAAAACTTTTGAAGATGCAGCCCTATAATACAGACTCCCTTTCTAAAAAGGTAAAGTCATTTGCACCAAGTCCAGAGCTAGAAATGGGTACATCTGAAATTTGAAGCCAACACCCTTGTTCCAAAAGCCAGATTAATAGCCACTACATTTTCTGACCATTGACTTTTAGCCCCCTTTAAGAGAAACAAATCACTTCTAGTGCATTAAATGTCTGAGCTGCTGGCACAGCAAGCAGTGATAGTCTTCTGTGGCAAAATCCTATTACAAAATCCCCTCCAGAAGGAAAGCCTGTCTTGCTCTGTGCCTGTTTGATATAATGCCTTCAAAATTCATTTGAAGTTCCTGCCCTCCCAGGAAAGTTCCTACTTCCAGACCAACTTCAGTGGCTTGCCTATGCCTCCTCTGGCCTCCAAGCTCACCCATGCCTGCTCTTGCTTCTGCTCCTACTCTGGCACCTCTGTTACTGCCTCCCCATCTATCTCCCACATTAACCAACAGCTCCTGGAGTGCAAGAATGATTGCTTAATAAACTCTTAATTCTTGGTACCTTAGCCTTAATAGGAACTCAATAAAGAAACAATAGAATAAATAAAGAAAAGGCAGTAATTTACTAGAAAAACAATGTATAGGATTCTAGGATACAAGTGGACAATCAGATTTGTTGCTGTTATTGTTTTGATCAGAATTCACAGCGCCCACACATTATTTTTTATTATAATAAGTCATTGCCATTTTAATAATATATTAATATTAGCTTCTGCTTTAGTTTTTATATTTAGTTTTTATATTTAGTTTTTTATATTTTCATAATCTGTTGATAATTTTAATGGATTTCAAAATTTTATGTAATCATTTTTACTTTTAAATAATTTCAATAATCTATTTTTATTTAATACCCATATGTATAAAGCTACATATGTATTATTGTATACAGAGTATCATAGCCTGCATTCATTGTGTTTTCATGTAATTGTTGTTTTCCTTTTTTTCACCTGTCCCTTCTTACCCATGCCTTGCTCCTTCCCCGGACATGAGTCTCTGTCCCCACATCAGAGTAAACCTTGTCAACACATTGGGGTGTATCCAACCATGGTTTCCTCTGTTTCCATTTCATCTTACAGAGATGCACATAGCACAGTGCATATAAATCTACCTCTACCCCCACCCCCAAGTGTTGCTTGGGACTCATAATTTAGGCGGGTACACATAGAAACTTTATTTCCTTAGTTTTCTTTGTCACCGTGCTCCAGTTCAGTAAAATAATCTTAGGGAATTTGAACCTGAAGACTTACTACTGTAGAGTGATAGCATTTAGCCTGCCAACAGTCAGACACACAGCAGTAG